TCAATATTTTGTGTATAATAAGTCTTTATTATACGTCCGTGTGGTGACGGATTAAGAATACAGTGTCACCACCCCTATTCATCCCGTGGGTGTCGTAAGAGCCGACTAAGGGAGAAAACGCAGGACAACAGCACTGCAGAGAGAAGGAAAACTTGACACAAACCCTATACCAACCCGTCTGGCCAGCGTGGTATAGTAGGCCATAACTTCCTTACTAAGGAGAGGCCTATGTCTAGCAGGGGACTATTGAAGGCTGTTGATGATGATGATGATCAAGTCTTTATTGTGAGGAGAAATAAACGTTATTATTATTATTATTAATTAAAGAAGAACTTAATTAATTGATAAATTTATTCTCTTGATTGATGGATGTGTGTACATAGGTCATCTAGAATGATTAATATTTCTACATAGTGTTTGTTACGTCATGTAATAGTTGAAAACAGAACCCTTTGTTCTTTTACGAGTATATCTATACAAAAAAATAAAATTGAAGTGTCTGTTTGTGATATCAAAATAATAGGTGTTTTTCGTGCTCACACGGTTATTTGCACGATACCTATGCCTAAAAACCAATTATTTTTTGTCTGTCTGTCTGCCTATCTGTTTGTTCCGGGTAATCTTCTAAACGGCTGGACCGATTTTGATAATATTTTACTACCAGATATTTGTCTATCTATACAAATAAATAAAATTGAAGTGTCTGTTTGTCATATCAAAATAATAGGTGTTATTCGTGCTCACACGGTTATTTGCACGATACCTATGCCTGAAAACCAAGTATTTTTTGGCTGTCTGTCTGCCTGTCTGTTTGTTTCGGGTAATCTTCTAAACGGCTGGACCGATTTTGATAATATTTTACTACCAGATATTTGTCTATATAAGAAGTAACTTAGGATATTTTTCCTCTCAGAAAAACCCTATAAAATTTTGCCTAGTCCGGGAATCGAACTCACTAAAGCAGCGCTTCAAATTCCACGCAAACGAAGTCGCGGGCACAAGCTAGTTTATTAATGAAAAAAGACAACAATATATCGTAACACTCACGTAATACTATCCGTACCCATTTATATAGCTTGTGCTGGCATTTAAATGTTTGGACAAACTTACACTATTGTTCTAGTAAACAAGGGCTTATGCTGGGTAAAAAATTCAATTCCCGAGAGGCAGTACAAAATGCCTTTGAAGAGTTTGTTGCCTCCCGTCCAACTGATTTTTACAAGAATCAATAAACTGCCAATGCGTTGGCAAAGATGCGTCGATTGCATGGGTGAATACTTCGAATAACAGAAATAAAAAAGGTTTGAAAAAATAAGTACTTTCACTTATTGCATACAAAACGGCAATTTCATAGGTAAAGACCTATTATTATGTAAACAGGTTTACAGTACTTAATTGTGTATTTGATAAATAAAGATTGTGATAAATCTATCCATATATGTAAGAATGTTATCTGTGTTGGTTTCGTGGTTGGTGACTCTGACCACTATTCCGGAGGTCGTGGGTTCGATTTCCACCCGGGACAAATATTGTGTGATGAGCACGGTAATTTGTTCTATGTCTGGTTGTAATTTATCTCTAATATGTATGTATTCAGAAATATATATGTAAGTGTTTATCGGCAGTCTGGTTACCATAGTATAGGCTCTGCCTCGGTTGGGATCAGACTCCCATGTGTGAGATGTCATCATCATCAACAGCCTTTACTAGTCCACTGCTGGACATAATCCTCTCCTTAGAAGGGAGGTGTGAGATGTGTGCAGTTATTATTATGAGGCTGAAGGTTTGTTTACTTTTTTGGTTGAACGCGCTAATCCCAGGAACTACTGGTTTGAACTGAACAATTCTTTCAGTGTTGAATAGCCCATTAATCGAGGAAGACTACAGGATATATAAAAACACGCTACAGCAAAAACGGCAAAAGTAATTATTTTTAGAGCAGCAAAATAAGTTGCGAGGGTGAGCTACTAGTTTTTAAAATAAAACATATTTAAATATTATTACACACTAGCTTTTGCCCTCGGCTCCGTCCGCGTGTATGTCGGCTTACACGGTTAAAAGTAGCCTATATCCTTCCTCAAGAGATCAACTATTTCGATACCAAATTTTATCTAATTTGGTTTAGCGGTTACTGCTTGACATACAAACTTCCAACCCTCTGTTACCCCCTTAAACTATCCTATGTCCTTTCCCGTAACTCAAACTATGTCAATACCAAATTTTATCTGAATTGGCGTGAAGAGGTTACAGACAAACAAACAGATACACTTCACATTTATAATTTTAGTATGTATAGTATATATGGGTCTGCTCGAGCAGCACGATTGATTGACAGAAACTAAGGCCTTACAGGAAACCAATGACAAGCAATTCTTTTAATTGAGTCTGCGAGGGTACTGGAGCAAATACCCTCCCCCCCATCCAACCCTCTTCCACCAAAATTAAGGAGGGGCAAAAAACTGAAGTTGCCATAGAGTGACCTGTCTGCTCACTTGAAACTTTCCATAACAAACATTGAACAGATATCAACAGTGCTCCACCCTGCTTAGTTTGACATAATACTCACTTGTAAACACTGAGTTATTTTTGTCACTATTACCTTTTCTGTTATTTTTTTACCTTTTATCGTGAGAGAGCCATGCTGCGGCACGAATGGGCCGGCTCGACCGGAGTGATACTACGGCCTCACAAAAAACCGGTGTTAAGCAATTCTTTCGTTACCTTTCACTGAGTGAGTGAGGTTACCGGTGCCCTAATCCCCCCTCCCGCTGTCTCGAGCGGGAGGTACTCCAAGGGCAGTAACGCACTTGTGACTTTTAAGTTGCAGGTGTCCATGGCGGTAGTTGCTTACCATCAGGTGACGTTTGCCCACTTATAACATAAAAAACAAAAACCTTGGGATGTCAAACCGGGTGACGTCGGTTAAGTCTATTCGTGACGTCAGGAAAAACGAAATGTGATATTAATCTCATTTCGTCTCCTGAAGCAAAATGCGGGACAGCATGACCTTCCTTTTCTATTCCAATACTATGTGGGTCTATGTGGATTAAGGCCCATAATCTTCCTTTGCACAATATTATCGCATTCCTAATTAACAAGCATAATGCGTCCAGAGCCGAACTTGGGTGAAGTTGGGGGAAGTTTCGCCCCTTAGTTGTGAGTTATTTGCGCGCGAACTTTAGACGGACTATTTGAATTGAAATATGGCCTTGCCAAACCATGGATTATAAGTGTGGCTAATAAATATCATGGAATATATATGAGTTTGTGGTGAAGTTAGAGGAATGGGGTTGGGTATTTTTCACGATTTATCGAAATATTTATACGTGAAGAAAATTCTTTGCACACATTTTTAAACAAATATGGCTTGAAGAAACATGTAACTTGGCACACTTAATGTTTAGAAGAAGTGCACAAAGCTAAAAAAAAACAATGACTGTGTGTGTGTGTGTGTGTGTAGAATAACAATGTAAACGGGTACATAAAACATATATTTTGGCCTGTCGTGGCACAAAAGTCAATATAATAACAGCTTAAGTTACACTGGTCAATAAAACGAAAAAAGACATTCAAAACAGTGGACACCTACAACTCAAGAGACAGAAGTACGTTTTCACCCGTTAATTCCCATCCCCACCCCCAGAATATGGAGGTGAGCTTACTGGAGTCCATATCTCCGGTGGGTTTAGGCCCTGGTAACCTCACTCACTTACTCAGTAAACAGAAACAAAGAATTGCGTTTCCATGAGGCCGTGGTATTACTCCAGCCAGCCTATTTGCGCCCACCCACAGAAAACTTGGTGTGGAAATACAGATTGATAGCTAGGACTAGGACTCACAAGGATGTATCTTCTGGTGTACACCTGGTGATGGGAAACTGTGTGAACACGAACCTTCTAGAATCACAGATTCAAGACGGTTCGTGTACGAAATACCTGCTTACCGTGGGTAATCTCTAAGTTAAATAAATTATTTATTTAATTAAAATTACGTAATGTTTTGTTCTTCAATTAATTGTCGTTTAATGTAAACGTAATATAATTAATGACTTCATATTGCTCGTAGATACAAGGCCACTCGTACAATTGATTAAATCATCTGACTATTGTCTCACTAGGTATTGGTCACTGGTTGGCAGGTGCGACCACGTACTATCGTCGATTCGGACAGTTTTTGTAACTGTAACAAATATATAAATATACTAGCTTTTGCTCGCGGCTCCGCCCGCGTGTATGTCAATCAAAAGTAGCCTATGTCCTTCGACAATCAAAGTATCCTCCTGCCATTTTAATTTAAAAAGATCTATTTTGTTTTAGACTAACTGCAGAAACTATACATACAGCCAGACCTTGAGCTTGATGCCTCCTTGAGAATGTAACTGTTCACTGACAGGAAAAAAAGGGACAAATTAGGGTAAACAAGTCTCGGATGGGGGAAAGGAACTTCAGCTTGACGAGGCCATAAAGCCCGTACCTGTATGTCAAACGATAATTGGACATCGATTGTCCAACAATATCATCATTTGCTTATAATTTTCAAATTTATCCAAATTTATTTCGGCTCGATGCAATCACTTCTTCCATTCTCTTCTATCACTCGTCAGTTCACTGCTTATTCCCTTTCTCTTTCTATCTTTTATAGCTTTCCGCCTATCCATTTTTTCTTTCATCGTCCTCTAATCTTATATACATAAATCTTTCTTTCATACCAGGATAACCTGTTGCTTCTCAATTTTTAACCCACTGGTGCTACGCCTTACCCATCCTGGTTACACTACACATCCATCGTAACATTTATATTTCAGCAAGATGTGGATCAACTATCTGACAATACGATAACAATGAAGAATATTATTTATGACTCCAAAGAGTCAATAAACTAATAAAATATTTACTTAACTCCTCACTAACAGTAATAGCCGCAATGTTTTTATAAACATAATTCTGATGCGCACACGAATCGGTCTCGTAATATTATTACAACATTCAGTGTCTGCCGCCATGTACGTGTTATTTGTCGTGTTCCTCATCAATATTGGATTTTCCTCAGCTAAGGAATTCGTGGACAAACTTGGTGAGAATTTCTTTTTTCTTTTTGACTAGGTTTTATGACTTCATACAGTTATCAGGTAATACAGAAATTATTAAATTGGCAGAGAAAAGTCTAAGATATTTTTCGAATACAAGAAACAATGAAATGTTTCTGAACATGTTTTTATTAGCTCCACTTGTAAGTATGTAAATAAATCTGAGAGGTCAATGTTAACCTGTTTTTAACTGTCGTATCGATACTAAACTCTGTGTGTCTTTTTGCATCGGATGGTAATACTATAATTTGGCATCTCTATAAAGAAGAGTTTAGCCATTAGTGAAGACTTCCAAGTAGTGTGTTACTATAATCAAAAACTCTGGGATTAAATATAACTTTTTTTCTGTGCGGAAATCCCCTCGATACCTCCCACTGGTGGGATAGTTATGTTGGACTCGAACCGACCAAAAACCGCATGGCCTCTCGGGTCCCAGTTGCTGGGGAACCAGGTGTACCCCAAAAAAGAAATTCCTGGTACTCCGACGTACCTCGGGCCATGATGACCAACTCCTGTGTGGGAACCCCGATGTTCCCTTCCTTACTCCCGAAGAGCGTGCGCACTAAGTCGTCATCCACCCCGGCCTGCTTCTGCTAGGGTGATAGATGGACCCGCCTTCTCCCAGCAAAGCACTTGTGACTCTTGAGTTGCAGATGCAGGTCCATAGGTGGGGGGGGGAGGGTAGTCATTTCCCATCAATTCACCCATATGTTCGTTTGCGGTGACTTTCTACAATTTTTAGTCCTACATGTGACAAAATCCAACATTTAATGCAGCATTGTTTATCTTTACCTATGTTTAATAAGAAGTAATTAACATATGTTATTGGTGTTTAAATACCGATCGTCTAGAAAAGGTCAGTTCAATTGATAAGTTAATAAAACAGACATTAATTTAATTAAATATAGCTTATCTAATTAATGTATTTTACTTTGTTGTGTCGAGAGTTTATTTGTATTAGTTACCAGCTGGTGTCTTTGCGTGGAATTTGAAAAGCGCTGCCTTAGGGTTTTTCTGAGAGGAAAAAAGCCTAAGTGACTCTGTATATAGTCAGCTACCAGGTAGTAAAATATTATCAAAATCGGTACAGCCGATTTCCAGATTACCCTGCACAAACAGACACATAGACAGAAGGACAGACAGACTGACAAGAAATATTTAAAGGCATAGGTATCGTGCAAATAACCGCGGGTATGAAAAAAACCTATTATTTTGATATTACGACACTTCATTTTTTTTTTTATTTGTAAAGATTGGCTGCGGCTTGTTTCAACCTTGAAAAAAAAAACTTCCATACAGTTCATCCCTTATTTTATTCCCCCGCGATGTCGCGACACAGGATTTACTCCTTTTTTTTCCGTGTTTACTAGATTGATCTAGTGGTTACTAGATCAACTGCTAAGTCAGAGGCCGTGGGTTCGATACCAATTCAGGACAAATATGGTGCGATTAGCATAATTATTTTTCATGTACCTGGGTGTAATTTATCTATAACGCGTGTATGTTTAGATATATATAGGTGTGTTTAGTTAGAAATCTAAGTGTTCGGGTGAAGGCATTAGTCCTGCCACTAACAATAGTGGCAAGACTAATGCCCCACTTACATAAGCGAGACTAAAATTTATAGTCGTGGGCGTTTAACACGCCTCCGTCTACACTTTTCCGTATAACACTCCAAAAGCTTCGATAATACACATTTCTTTATAGCCCACATTCCCACATAGCCCACATATGTATACTATATCACACATCCCACACATCAATAGCCTTTAATAGTCCACTACTGGACATAGGCCTCTCCTTAGAAAGGAGGTTTTGGTCTACTATACTACACTGGTCAGACGGGTTGGTATAGGGTTTGTGTCAAGTTTTCCTTCTTTTTGTAGTGCCGGGTCCTGCGTTGTTTTGCTTAGTCGGCTCATACGACACCCACGGGATGAATTGGGGTATACTATATACTCGTACTCTTTTAATACCAGCTTCCTCATAATTAATTCCGTCCGTACTTTCGGACATCAAAAACCCGTAATCAATATTTAAGTGACACGGAGCTTTTAATAAACAAAACACCTCCATTGAAAACTCCTGTTGAATTTTTTATAAAGGTCGATTGTTTTTTGCTTCAGAATTAGGTGTTATTTGTTGGCTCGTCATTGGAACTCCAATTTATTTAATTATTAAAATGTTGAGAGGAAAATATTTTTACGATCACGTTAAATATTTGTCATTTTGGATAGTAAGCGTTCAAAACAAAACGTGCTAAAGAAAATTTTATGTAAAGACGTTTTTTTATGGTAAAAGGAGCAAACAAATAGACGGGTCGAGATGGTAAGTGTCTACCCCCGCCATACCTGCAGTTCAAGAGACATACCCTGCCCTTTGAGAAAACCCCACGAATACTTCCTTCCACGATCCTTCTTTTCTGGAGGATCGAAGAGGGGGAATTACCTCTTTATTTATTTATTTATACAGCTTTATACACTTCTGTACATTAGCGGACCTAATGCCTTGGGCATTCTCTAAGTCTGGTAAGGTAGGTGCACTGAGTTTACAGTTGTAGTCAATGGTTATATATATTTTTATCAATCCATACTAATTTTATAAATGCGAAAGTGTGTCTGTCTGTCTGTTACCTCTTCACGCTAAACCGCTGAACCGATTTAGTTGAAATTTAGTATGGATATAGTTAGAGTCGTGGGAAGGCACATAGGATAGTTTTTATCTCAGAAATCATCCTTTTAGGGGGCGAAAATTGGAGTGGTAGTTTATATGGGGAATCAATAACCACTGAACCGATTTAGTTGAAATTTAGTATGGACATAGTTAGAGTTATGGGGAAGGACATAGGCTAGGCTTTTTACTGCGATAATCGGTTATACACACGGGCGGAGCCACGGTAAAAAGCTAGTTAATAAATAAAACTGGAATAAACTTATATATACAGTTACATAAATAGATATACATATAAATACACATAAATACATTTTTTTTTTCTTTAAAAAAGACAACGCCCGCATTAGGAATAAATCCTGTGTCGCGGGGACTTTACAAACATACATGAAACGGACACAAAGAACACCCAGACTCAGAACAACAATTTGTGGATCACACAAGGTGTCGTCCCATGTGGGGTTTGAACCCACAACACTCGGCGTAGTAGGAAGCGGCGTGGCGACCGCTTAAACCACTACGCCATCCGTGCAGTCAAATACTTTACAAACGTACAATGTGAATACTAGCCTAGACATCTCGCCAAGAAGGTAATGATGTACATTATTTTTAAATGTGAAAAGGTTTGTTAATAACCTGATTTCCTAAATACAGTGTTACAAAAAACAAAAACAAATGAGATTATGAATAAAGCTCAGAGCCACTCTTCACCTCGATATAGCACTCGTAAACACTTTCCTAAGCATTAAGGCTCCCCATAATATTTAACGGCGTTTACACACAACACTAGCCAAGGGTTTCACGGATAGCTATTAAAATACATCACAGAAGGGATAATTACATCGATTAGTAGCCCAAACAGTTGTATTATTTATTATAATACACATATTATCAGTGTTCCAAAAGGTTGTGTAGTTTGGAGATGTAGCTTACGTAGCGATATGTTAAAGTGGATACTTCCAAGATCTCTAACTTCATCATCATCTTTAACAGTCCACTGCTGGACATAGTCCTCTCCTTAGAAAGGAGGTTTTGGCCTACTATACCACGCTGGCCAGACGGGTTGGTATAGGGATTGTGTCAAGTTTTCCTTCTCTTTGCAGTGCTGTTGTCCTGCGTAGTTTGCTCCCTTAGTCGGCTCTTACGACACCCACGGGATGAACGGGGGTGGGGACAATCCGTATTCTTAATCCGTCGCCACACGGACTTTAACTTACTTGTATAATATATTCATTACTTTGATAGGTCGTTAAATTATTCTGTAACTAGTCCGTTTCTCCGTGTAAGTTAAATAACCATACAAATTACGAAGTTTGAGACATTTAAATACCCGAGTGCGTAAAGACAATTTAAAAGGAATGCACTTAGAAGGCCGAAACAGCACGGCAGTATTTCCGGACCGATACGACCTTCAAACCTTCAAAAAAGAGCGTACTCTTTCCTAGAAGGCCAGCAACGCGTTTGTGACTCCTGAGTAGCAAACGTTCATGGCTGGCGATGGTCACTTTCCATCCCGGTGACCCGTCTGCTCGTCTGCCCCCTCTAACATAAAAAAACGGTCCGACACAAACATGGCGTATTTTTACGCTATCAAAAACTTTTTGAACCAATTCGTTATTCCATATTCAACTTAAATATATATTTTCGCAATACCCTTTTAATTTTCTTGATTTTGATACCCTAACTCGATAGATTTAGTTAATTTTTTTAATAACCTATTACTATTTTACGCTAAAAAGCCGCCACTTTATTTTTTTCTTTCAAAAAGCCATCTAAGGAAACTTGGGTTTTTGAGACGGATAAAACAATACCTTAACTGTCGAAATCCACCATCCATTTGGAAGAATAAAGAAATTTACAAACGAATAGCATAGATTCTAAGGAGAGGGGTAAAAATAACATTAATTACGTTAAACTGAATTAAATTAAAGGAAATTAAACATAAAAATATAACTGTAAAGAGCTAGTTTATTTTATGCCCGACTGCTTAACTAAAGACAACTATCTTTATGTAATTGTTTTCAGATGGGATAGAGAGAGAAAGATGTTAAACTAGTATTAAAAAAAAGCAGATAGGGCCATGGAGATAGGACAATTTGAAGATAGTTTATATACTGCAATTCTCGGGTGGGAAACGCGACAGAGATTAAGGTAGCTCGGAAATGCCGCACTGTGTACTAATATGTCCATTAGAGAAACGCTAGCTAAGGGACATAAGATAACTTGAGCCACCATAAACGAGTCAATGAATAATGCAGCATCGTTAAATGTTTTAACAAAAGGCCAGAAGGCTAATTCTCGTAATAAAAGTTCGGTC